TTCATTTTGACGATCATTATCCTTGATCTCTTCGATTGCACTTTACCTCTATATCCTTGAGCAGAGTGTGAATATCAAAGGATTTCCTGGATGGTCAGAAACGTGAGAAAAGAAAGAAAAAAAATTGTGGCACTTGATAGACCAGCCAAAATCTGACGTGTTTCCAATTCCTCTCATCGGGATCTTAGGCAAGGCCATTAGATGACATTACTGTCACAAAAAGGCAATCACCAAGAAACTTGTCATAAGAGGAAGAATTAAAGAACAACAAGAAAACTCGGCATCACCCAAGTTGAGAAAAGTCTCTAGAAATACGTATCAAAAGAAATATCGCTCTCTTAATGGCATCAAACTACGGATAACTCGCGATCTCTCTTGTCGAACACATGACAAGCCGACTAGACGGACAAGGTATCCACTCTGAATTCAGGAAGGGGAAATGACCCGTGATCACTCCGATGCGACCATGGCCGCTCGCTTAGAATGGCAGATTCCACCTCAAACCGGAGAGGGCTATAGAAGAACAGCAAATAGTTTCTAGTTATACATCCCAAAAAGAAAGAGGACACATCCAAATCCTCTTTTAACGCTCCACCCAAAATCCCAGAAAATATTTACTACGCAACAACATTCCAAATAAAATACTCCAGAAATATTTGAAAAAATATAGAAATACCAACTAATGCCCAAGCTTAAAGCAAATTTATCCATCCAGCCCTCGATAACAAGTTTAGTTGAGTGAGGACATAATTTAAATCAACTTCAGCTCACAAAGACGACAATGCTGTCGAAGAATCTACAGCTAGGATCCATCTCAAACAACTCTTGCTTAGTAAGGACGTGTACGTGTCTCTCTATAACTCGGCGTTTCGCCGCCAATAGCACTGCATGCAAAACACTGGGTTATGACCGGCCCTACTGAACCGAGTGTATTGCCGCACAACATGGACACCATCAAGATAGCGGTGTATTGGCCCAGAGTTCACAATACTGGCTCCTTAATGGCGTTGAATCTGAGGATAATATGAGATCACTAGGATTATGATCAGATAGGAGCACAAGCCGTCTGTCAGCTAAGGTGGATTCAAAATTTGTCCCGCTGAGACCAAACTATTCACCCCGGTCGTCTAACAAGGTCCCCTTGGACGAAGTCACCCATCGAGCTAATAGCGCCTGCCACAGGAATGCCTTTTCAGTTGGGTAACTCGACTCACACTCCTCTGACTTAAGTAGACTAGGGGACCATCGATGGCCCGGCGATGCACGGGAACCATGGATCTTGTCGGGCTCTCATCCCATTCCCCACCATTACGCTTATAAGTTCCAGATGGATGAAAAATTACTCGTATTAATATTCATATTCCCAACTTTATCAAATACCCAAATTCAAACTCTAAATTCCAATATCCAAACCATCAAGGTTCCAAATCAAGTTTAATGTGCTACGTATTGACCCACGATAACACGTATATTCTACGTATCTGATCGACGACTAGCCTTACATCGAAAGTTTCTCTCTCGTGTATCGGAAGAGGTTAATTAACACTCTTATAGGGGCTTTGCGCCGTACTTAGGAAACAGAACTTCACACTACATAAATCCTCACAAAAATGAGGGCGAAAATTCCTGGAGTGTCTTATCTCCCCACAACCCAATCTGCCCTTCCAATAACCTATATCACCTCAGGAACCTCTTAGTTTCGCGTTAAAACTCCCCCTCGCCTAGCATAAAAAGAAAAGAGAGCGGAGGCTGGGGCCGAATTTTCGGAGCCCACAGAAAATCAAGGCAGCAGCAACAACAACAACAATATTAAGCCTTTATCCCTCTACGTGGGGTCGGTTACATGAATCCTTTTTCTTCACTGTCATTGTTAGGTCCCAAGTCCTGGATGAAAAAAGCGGATGGTTGCGTTTGGTAGTCGACAGCTTGCGTAAAATTTGTCGAATAATCATGACATAAACATCAAGGCATCCAGATAAAATCAACTCACATGCAATATGATGTACGTGCCAACCACTTGAAATAATTAATCTAAAGCACAAAAGCCTCGCCAAACATCAAGTAGAATTCCTGCAAATGAGAGGATTCACACTACATTAAGGAATAACTAAACTCTCTTGCACGCAAGAAATCGCTAAATGGCATAAGCTATTTTAGATATTTGAAATCAATGAGAAGAATCCTCTTTTATAAGACTCAAAACCATGTTTCGAAGAGAATATTTAAACTCCAAAATGGAAAGCAATACATGTCGATGGTTTGGACTTTGGATTTAATATCATGATGACACTATATGATGAATATCACTTTTAAATCCTATATCATAGCAATCAAAAAGTTTATTGTTAGGATACAACATGAGCCATCCTTCATTATTTAATCCCAAAAAGAGTTTACAAGAAGGTAGCTATTCATATTTCAATTAATACATTCATTAATATGGACTAAGATCTCCAAAACATGATTCATGCAAAGAAAAGCATGTGTAAGACCTAACATGCCAAAGTAATGACCATGATTGAAGTATGATTTTCAATAAGCCCATACATATGCACGGGATGAAACTCTTGGACGCCCATATTTTCAACATAAAACTTTAATACAAACAAAATCCTCTTGAGGCAATACGAACAAAATCCCCTTGAGGCATTTCATTGACATGCACTACTAAGCTAGGAATTTAGAAAAAGAAAAATTAAAATACTAATTTAGATAATTCAAAACTACAAACTTTTGCTAGATTTTAATAATAAATGGTGATCTTGCAAATAACTCAATTGATTGCCTTACAACGCAATAATTTGACTAAAATAATCTCACAATTATTTCTAATCTTATATGAAAATTTCATGTGAGTTACAAACAGAACTTTTAATTAAATGCTTTCAATAATTTTCATAAATAGTTTCGAAATATTAAATCCTACAAAGGAAAAAATATTTTCGAATTATTTAATTTTGGAAAATGAAATGTTGATCTTCACAAAATGAAATGATAATTCCAGCACTTTCAAACTTGATATATGAAGAAATATAATTTGACACATTGCAAGTAAATTTTATCAATAATTTTGGCAAGTATGTAAATAAAATTCTATGAAATATGTAAACTGATTTCAGCAAAAATGTAATTGTAGTTTAATAATAATGAAACGTATTTCCGCAAAAAAGACAAATTAATTATGTAAAGCTAGATGTTGATTTCAGCTAACACTAAAGACAACTTTGAAAATTCTAAATCTAATTTCAGCAAATCTGAAATTAATTTCTGGAATCTTAGTATTTTATTTCCTTAAAAATGCAATTTTGTTTCAACAAAACAAGATTTGATTTCAACACACACTTGGTTTTGATTTCTCGATAATGAAACTTATTTTTTTAAATCCTAGATTTAAATTTCAGCAAGTTTAACATTTAATTTCAGACAACAAATAAGTAGTATTTTATTCAATAAATCAATGGTAACTCCTAAAAAACAAAATATATGGTCTTATCAAACATAAATGTTGATTTAAATAAATAGCAAATAAATTTCAGCATTCATTAAAAACATTTTAGCATAGAAAAAATAATTTAAGTAACATTTGTTATTCTCCTAAATAATTATGCCAAGTATGGGAAATAAATTAAAGAAACATAAACTCTAAGGGTTTGAAAATAGGGTTAAAAGTAAGAAATCATTTAGAAATATTAAAGAATATTTATATTCATACTTATAATAATTAAATTATTGGATAATGAAACATGGAATATGAAGTTTAAATTAAGAAAGTTTTAAAAAAATTGAAATTAGATATAAAAAATGCAAATATTGCAACATGCAATTCTTATGAAAAAACATATAAAAATATAAATTTAACTCGAAGTATTATTTATTTATTTTAATGAAATTAAAATCAAACCATAAATGAAATTTAAAAATCATGAATTTCAATTTTTCGGGAATGGTTATTTATTTGTGAGCTTACTGTCAAAGTGTGCAAAAAACATTCTATGTACTTCTACGACACAACATACCTTAACTAATTGTTAAGATATGCATTTATTGCTTTGTTGTACTTGAGTTGATCCAATTGAAGTAATTCTATAGCTACTTTGCTATTAGGTAGGTAGGTGTGGCTGTGCTTGTGCTAAATTGAGATTATTATGATTCCAGACTATTTTAAACCCTTAATTAATATATTAAAACATCCAATCATATATTTGTTATTATTGAAATTAAATAATGAATCTTAAGGGTCATGGGGCTAATGGATATTACTAAGTGTTATGACTATTGATTTTCTAGGATGTTGCTGCAGAAAACAAACTTGCATGATTGGATGCATTTTATTCTTTCATTTCTCCCCCAGTCATCCAAGGAAGTAATTCTTTTGAATTCAGTCCTTTCAACTTTTATAGACCCAACAAATAAATTTCTTAATGTATCTCACCGACGGACCTATCAAGTTATTGGTGAATAAGTACTTGAAAAGAAATATGAAATCCATAGGATTTGTGAATTTTGGCAAGTTTTGTCTTTTTTATAATCTTAACATCTTGGATAAGAAATTGGCTGCACATGCCTTAATGAGTTCTCCCGTTAGTCATATACTCTAAGTCATTGATTTCAAATGAATTTCTACTAATTGCTATGACTGCGTTGCCAGTTCTTATAATTTCACATGAATAGCATATGATAATTTGTAGAACTAAAAGATTACGAGTTAGTAGGGCCACAATGCTGTTTATTGGTTGTTGGTTCATATACTCCGTAATATACTCAATACCATGTGTTAGACTTAATTACTAAGTTGTGATCTAGCTTGAAAGAGATCACAAGGTAATGTATTTGTATATTCATTACCTTTTGTCTTAGAGTTAAATTTCAAACTCTCGGCCGGGTTTTCTGGGAAAGGAACTTCTACAATTACATAAATTTTCCGAGAAAGAACTATTCAATTGCTTCTTTCATTATTCTTGCCAAACATCCGAGCATTTCTTTCGAAGTCTTGTAGGTTAACCTGTTGTGTATGTTTCATATGTAGGTGGGGTAGGGCTTTTCTAACAAAGGACTTTTTTCACAATATGGGGGAGAAGATGGGAGATCATGTTTTGCTTATTGTTGCTGAAGAAGAAGAGAAACTTGTTGCTGGAGCTCTTAACCTTATTGGAGGTGATACTCTGTTTGGTCGATTGTGGGGCTGCCTTCCTCAAGCTTATTTTCCTAATCTTCATTTTGAGGCCTGCTATTACCAGGTATATGGAGATGCATTTTGGATCTATCATAGTTTGTCAGTCTCCTTGAAGGACCGTAATATGCAATTTCATTTAAATGCTAAAGCATGTTTATCAGGAAATTTCTCTTTTCATTTAAGAACGTAGCTTTAGGATGTTTGGTTGACTTCTATTTCTGATGCTACAATATTTGAATTATAGTTATTGCTTTTTTTCGTTACTCTTCTTAGATTACATCAAACATAAATTTTTTTGAATAATCATGACAATTAGTAGGATAAAGGCTTGATGTTGCTGTACTCTTCTTATATTACAATATAACATTAGCTGCCGTGAGCTTCTAAAATGCATGGGACTTTCCAGTGGGTTCAGCATTAGTGTAAAAAAAGCTCAATTTAGATTCCCTTTTATGATTGAATTCAATACATGCATTATTGTAAAAGAAGATTGTAATGATCACAGTTGCTGGCAGTTTCTTTTTGTGACTATACACTTGAAACTTATTTATAATTCCTTAGCATTTAACTACTCCGTATAACGTTCAGCTATTATACTGCTGTACTTGTCTCTACTAACCATTAAGTTACCAAAAAAAAAGCAGTATATTAAACTAAATATTCTTCTATAATATTCTACTTATAGTTTACTTGGCATTTTGAATTTGTTCTCAAGGCAATTGAAGCTGCCATCGAGCTAAATCTAAGTAAGGTCGAGGCAGGAGCACAAGGAGAGCATAAGATACAGCGTGGTTATCTCCCTGTAACAACATACAGTTGCCACTACATCTTGAACGATGGTTTTAGAAAAGCTATTGAGGACTTTCTCGTGCGTGAAACAGATCAGGTGCATATGTGCCTATTTTACTATTAACTTATCTATATGATTGCGCTATTTTTCATGTAGAAAAAACATGTCAAACAAAAAGAGTGTTATATTGTCTTACTGATTTTATGTAAGAATTTTTGTTGCAGGTAAATGTTCCCTATGTGATCTTCTACATTTGACTTTTTTTTTTTTTTTTGAATGAAGCTAGAAACTTAAGATTTGTTTTGGGCGGCTATAGCTTTTTGTAAAACCATTATAAGGAAGCAACTTTCGTGTTCCTATTGCGGGTATTATATATATATTTTTCTTTTCAAAAAAGTCAATACAACCTTTTGACAGCTATCACACTAGCAATTTTGTTATAAAAAACAGCAGCCCATCATAAAATTTATGAAAAACAATGTGAGCACCGAAAATTCGGCCCCGGCCTCCCCGCCGCGCTGATTTGCTTTTTTTTTTTTTTTCGGCGAGGGAGTTTTAACAGAATTAAGTTTCGGGGTAAATTTTGGAAGGCAGATGGGTTTGTAGATAAGACACTACCCAAAGATTTCGCCCTCATTTTGTGAGGACTTTGTAATATGAGTTGGTTTCCTATAGACGCAAGCCCCTATAGTTAATTACCCCTTCCGATCTTGAGAGAGAACTTTCGATTAAGGCTAGTCGTCAATCAGATACGTATAGAATACGTGTAATCTGGCATATAGTAGTAGCATAAGCATAGGAATTTGAATGTTTGAAAGGTTAGAAGATTTGATATTTAAAATAGAAAATTTCACCATCGTGCACTTAAAGCGGATGGTGGGGGAATGGATGATAGACCCAATCAAGATCACATAGTTCCGTCATCTCGGGCCATCGTGGTCCTTGATCTACTTAGTCAAAGGAGGTAGTCAACCCAACCTGACAGAAGGATCCTTGTCGGCTGCCAGGGGTTGCTTCGTCCAAGGGTATCTTGTAGACCTGGGGTGAATATTTGCCTACGGGGACAAATTTGAATCCACCTTAGCTAACAAAGGACTTAGTGTCCTATCAATCATATCCTATTGATTCATATCTCAAGGATTTGATGCCACCAAGGAGCGTAATGGCTCTGGTTATAATCGGTATTTCATGGTGCTATTTTGCGGCAAAACCACTAGGTTCAGAGAGCCCCAGGTCATAACCGTTTATCTTGCGGTGCCATTTGGCGGCAAAACCGCTGGTTAGAGGACGCGTACCATGTCCTTACTGGTAGAAGATTATTTGAGAATGGATCATAGTAATATTTTCGACTAATCATTTGGCTCTATGTGAGCTTAAGTAAATTTTAATTTGTCCACCCGGCAAACTGTTGTGGAGGGTGAATGGATTTTGCTTTAAGTATGAATGGATAATTTCAATTTTAAATATTTTTGGGATTTTGAAATTTTTTTGGGATTTTTGGATTTTGAATGAATTTTTGGGAGGCATTTTGAAAATATTTGTGAACCCCTCTTGTTGAGATCTACATTCAACACGGCCATCATCGGGGTGTTTGAGGTTATTTCCATTTGAAAAAAAAAATTGAATTTTTGTGGATGAACCTTGTCCACTATATCGAGCCGTCGACAGAGGATCAGGTTTCGTAGGCTTTATGTCTTATTAGTGAATTCATACTATTATAGGCCTTGAAGGCATAATATCAATGCATTAAAACAAATATACCGGTCACCACCATCGTATATTTGTTTGATTGTTCGAATCATGTCTACTCCTATTGGTCCATATAGAAGGATCGGGTTCGAACTTGAATTCACTTGTTGACCCGCGCAGCATCCCTAGACGTCACATGTGTTTCTACATCATGCTCGCCGGGGCCCATGCGGGTGTTTGGGGGCATTTTATAATTATACCCTGTCTACTCCTTTTTACCTGCTTAGGAGGATCGAGTTCAAATTTAATAACCCGTGCAGCATCCCTAGACGTCATGTGTGTACCAATAACACGCTCGTCGGGGCTCATGCGGGTTGTATGATTGCTTTTACTCTATATTGCATGGATACTCCTATTTACGAGGCGTGCTGTATCGGACACGTGTCGGATACAGATATGCCTCCAATACGGCACGGATACTTGTCGGATACGATTTTGCCGTGTCAGATTAAAATATTATTTAAATTTGACTAGACACATGTATCAGATACGCGTGTCCTATTAAAAAAAACACGTATCCACGATTTACCCTATTCTTTTTTACTTTCCACCGTTTTCGCTCAATATCCATATTCATTTATGCGGCTGAAACATTTCAAAGAGCTGGGTTTTTCGTTTCCACACAAGTGTTCATCTTCTTCATTATAGTTGAAGGAGCGGCTCGATGACGCGAGCATAAAAGCAAACAAGATCATCCTTTGTCGACAAAGAGGCTTGACGATGCGAGCATTAAAGTCGTTAGGATAATCCTTCGTCGACGAAGCGGCTCGACAATGCGGACAGTGAAGGCGACTGAGCAGTGAAGGTTCATTTTCTTCGTCGTTCGTCGTTTTCTTAATCATAGGCTCGGTATCGAAACTTGGTACCGCTTGGTACCGAACGTTACTGGAACTCAGTATTGCTCGGTACTGCTCGATACCGAGCGGTACTGGAACTCAGTATTGCTCGGTACCGCTCGGTATTGGAACTCGGTATTGCTCGGTACTACTCGGTATCGAGCGGTATTGGAACTCAGTATTGCTCGGTATTGGAACTCGGTATTGCTCGGTATTGGAACTCGGTATTGCTCGGTACTACTTGGTATCAAACGGTATTGGAACTCAGTACTGCACGGTATTGGAACTCGGTGTTGCTCGGTACTACTCGGTACTGAGCGGTATTGGAACTCAGTACTGCTTAGTATTGGAACTCGGTACCGCTCGGTATTGAAACTCAGTATTGCTCGATACTGTAACTTGGTATTACTGGGTACCGCTCGGTATTGCTCGGTATAGAGGGGTACCGAATGGTACCAAGCGGTACCGAGAAGCTAAAACATGCTCTGTATCGCTCGGTATCTTTTCATAAAAATAACTTTAAAAATAAACAGCACTTCAAAATTACTCTTACAAAAAAAAAAATTATTTCGGGGGCGCTGCCTCCTATAACCTCCGCAGGAGGATCGAGTTTCAATTTTTTTGTCATTCAAATATTACACTTTGGTTACTTTATTAATTTTTATGTATTATTTATATATTATAATGTCGTATCCACGCCGTATCCGTATTCTGTATTTTTAAGAATTGGCGTGTCCCGTATCCGTATCGTGTCGTCTCCGTATCGCCGTATCTGTATTGGTGCAACATAGATTTTACTCATTTTAGTGTACCTATGTGTATATAAACTATGGTGCACGTGCGGGGGTACTTTGAAAGTATTTGCCGACGTCTTCTGTCTGCTTACAAGGATGTTGCGGATCCGGTGGCGTGGCGTTGTAGATTGTAGACACCTTCTGTCTGCTTGTATGAGTGTTGCAGATCCGATGACGTTGTATAGTAGCTTCTGAATTGAGTTGTTTGCTGCTTTGTACAGGCAGACTGTCGTGCACTACATGTTGCTTTCTGCAGATGGATTATAGTGCACTAACTAATCTCCTGCTTTAACCCATAGGTGCTCGTATTTATTGTGGTTTTCTTGCATTTTTCCTGCAGGCGATATATTTGACGTATAATAAATCTCCTACAGCAGTTCATAGGTGTTTGCATTTGCCACATATCATTCATCTTTACTTGCAAATGATCAACCTATTTGATTGACATTGTATAGGAGTTGACTACGAGGATAATGTAGCATCTATTATCCTCTACTACATAACTTGTAGGTGCTCGCATTTGCTAGAGGGGTTCCGCCTCGTCCGCCATCGATCATTACCCGTAGGAGCATTATTGTATATGCAATGAACGCTTCATCATCACCAATAAGCATTTGCATATGTTGTGATCTTCTCCCTTGTAGGTAGAAGATCCATTAATCCTTTGATACATCTTCCATCATAGCTTGTAGATAGGGCTGTTGTATTTCAACATTAGTAGAAAAAAGGTTGTATTCTCCACAATTCTCTTACTTCACTTGTGGGCATACCGCATTGATTGTGTATAAATACCACTTGTAGGGACTTCATGGCATTCATTGCATTTATTTTATGTTGTGCATCATCATTTGTAGGAAGATATTGTTTGCATGTTGATGTTTGCATTTTGTGGCATAAGAGCCCTCCATTTATTCAGAAGCTTCATGGGAGTATTATGGCTTGGCAAGCATTGATGGTGACTCCATTACTCTTGATGAATCTTCTACTACCACAAGAATTTTTCTATTCATTACAACTCATCTAATATTGCTTGCAAATACATTGCATTCCTTACAATGTTGCTTATGGATGATATGTGAACTTCTATTATCATGAATCATTGTTTTTTCTTGCATGAATCAAACATTTCTTAATTAAGATTGGCATTCAAATTGAAGTGACGATCCCGTTATGAAATTGATTTCTCAAGAAATCATTCATCTTCAATTTGGGTTCATATTCAAGTTCATGGCAAATTCGTTTCATGTTCAAATTTATTTAAAGTCTTTCCCATTTTGGATCCAAGTTCCTTGTTGTCACAACTTCTAGCTCAATTCATGGAAGCCAATGTTCAAGCAAGTCTTCCTCATCTGATTCAAGTCAAGTTCGTATTCTCTTTATTGTTGTACCGTTCAAGTTCAATGTCCACTCAAGTCTTTGCTTGAGTTTAAATGTCCAAGTCATGTCTTCTTAGTGTTTAAATTAAGCTCGAGTTTGAGCTCATTTTTGTTTCACTTCATTTAGGTCAAAGTATTCATTCAAAGGACCTGCAGTTCAGCTTGGATTCAAGCTCTTGTTCAAATCAAAGTCCCCTGCGTTCAATCAAGTCTTTGCTTCTCAAGTTTGAATCAAGTTCTCGTACCTTTCAACATCACTTGATTAAGTTTTGATTTAAGCCTGATTTTGTCTTAAATTATGCCAAAGTTAAGTTCATTTGATGTCCAAATAAAGTCCACTGTTTGTTCTAAGTCCTTATCCCATTTCGGACAAAATTTCGGCAGCCTCCCGGCGTCTCCACCATTTAGTGGAAAGACCAAGAGGCCGCCTACCCGCCACGTCAAGGAAGACGTGTACGGTTGGTGTTTGTGAGACAACGCGGCGGTGATTTTTTATGTTTGTCATCCACCACGCCAATAAAGGCGTGCATGGGTTTTTTGACGATACCTGTTTAAAAAAGACAGTTTGCTTTCCCCCCGCTCGGGGGTACTTATGAGTGACCCCGCCTCACCGTAGGTGCCGCACTGGGGTCCCATCCCACCACTCGCAATAAAGGCGTGCATGAGCAGTTTTCCTTTTCGCCACGAACATTAAAGTAGGGTTTTGAGTTTTGAAAATTCATACCTTCGTGGGGTAGTCGCACGGATCGAGGAAAGGAGAGAGAGAGAGGCACTTCAGCTTTTTTTAATTAATTATTAATAATACTAATTAATTACACTTAATACTAATTAATTGCACATTTAAAAAAAGATTAATTATAATTAATAATTAGTCATAAATAATTATAATTAATAATAATAAATTTAAATTAAAATAAATAATTATAATTAATTATAGTTAACAACATTTCTCCAAATGAACCGTTAAAGTGAAAGATCCAGTAAATAAATGTGTTGCCAAAATTAACATCATTTGTTGTTATGGAGGTTAGATAAATTGTAAATAACATCAAATGCAGGTCTTAATGGATATGTACTGTATAGAAGGATTGACAAACTTGATAACAAATTGTTGGGATGAAAAGATCATTAGATTAGAATGATGCATCTCTAAACAAAACAAATGGTTTTACATACATGGATATGTATTGGATGATGAACATATGAGTTCTAGTTAGTTTGGTTGATAAAGATCTTAGAAGTTATTGCCAAAATCGCCAATTCAAATGCCCTCTGACACTCGCAATAATCATACACAATGTTGACAGGTTGGCCCATGACTAAGTATGTGTCAGGCGTTTTATCTATAGGGACAAAATTAGATTCTATTACTTACACTTTGATCTCTGTGATTGGGAAGAACACAGATGTGTAATTCTTTTGGAACTTCGTTGTATTAATCTTCCTCTGTTGGGAATTGTGTGTTACCACACCTCTGTGTAATTCTTCACAAAGAAATTATTTGGGTTCCCCCTTTTGAAGCAGCCCAATCAAAATGGGAAGAGTTCCATGCTTTTCTTTTTATTGAGAAGATTTTTCTTGGTTAACAAAATTAAATGATAACTTGATATGTGTTTTTATATAATTTTTTTTAACTGTAGCTTTTCTCTTTTATTATATTACCGTACTTTTTCGGTTAGTTTTTAAACAAATCCATTGTTTTGCATCTAATTGTCATCTCTTACTGGCTTGTTTACTGGCTTTGTGCTTCCTTTCAGGTCAAACAAGTCATGAAATTGCTTAATGATTCTGGACCCTTCAAGGTTGGTATAGATTGAGAAACATCAATCACAGTTATGTAAATAGAAGCCTATCACTGTTACTCAGATTAAGCTCCTGCTGCCTCAACCTCAGGTGCCATTCTGTACATAGAAAGAAGACAACACTTGGCTTTTTGGTTCAGCAGATATAATTAGATGATATGCATAGAATATAATTTATTTTCATATTATTATGAAATAATTATGTCATTCTACTGCATTGTGATTGACCATCAAAGTTATAATTTATGAGCTTTCCTCGTGCATTCTTATCAATCTATTATCTGATTAGTTATAATCATTTATTGATTACTAATGCGCCCCATTGATTAATTATGGTGTAATTAATGGCTTGATAATGGATAATGGACCCCCTTAGATTAGTGATATGACTAAAAAATTCATATGATCGACAGATCAAGAAGAAATTTTCGGAATTAAATGTAGAAGCATCCGAACTCCAATTTTAACGAATTTATAGTTGAATTGAATGTCTTGATGAAGTGTACTTATCATGTAGAAACTAATAAGCAGTGATGCATAATGTTGAGATAGTTTCTTGTATTCAATGTATTACATACTACAGTTACAAGTATTTATAGTTAGAGAATACAACACTAAAGATTATTCATATATTTGCTATTACTCCCCCTCAAGCTAACGGGCATTGTTGAACAGTGAGCTTGTTTATGAGCATTTGAAACCTTGGTGTGGAAAGATGCTTAGTGAGTATATCAGCAATTTGATCTTTAGTGTTGATTGGAATTACTTGAATTGTGTGAGATTGAATGTGATCCCGAATGAAATAATGATCAATCTTGATATGCTTTATTCTGGCATGAAATATTGGATTATTAGCAAGAACTATTGCAAATGTGTTATCACAATTCAAATTTGTCGGTGTAGTCAACTGTATGTGAAAGTCTTGTAATAATTTTCTTAGTCATATAATGTTTGTTGTTGAAGCTAGCGCTCTATATTCGGCTTCCGTTGACAAATGTGCTATAGTATGTTGTTTCTTCATACCCCAAGAGATTAAATTGTTGCCTAAGAATGTACAATAACCTGATGTGGATTTGCGAGTTTCGCGGTCACCTACCCAATCGGCATCAGAGAATGACCGCGTGATATTGGTATTTCATACTTCAAAGTGCCTTTTATGTATCGAAGCAATCTTTTGAACAAGTATGCATGTAACAGTGTAGGTTTATGCATGTGTTGGTACAATGAATTTACCATGAATGTTATGTCTGGTCTTGTAATTGTTAGATATTGGAGTAATTTGACAGTTTTTCTGTAATTTTGAGGATTCGATAGCAGTACTTGCGCTAATGGGATTAGTTTTGGTATTTTTGTACATGTTGGATTTGAGAGAGGCTTGAATTGTTGCATTTTTGCACTTTTTAGTATTGATGATGCGTATATATCTTGGGATAAGAAATAATTGATCACCTTGAGAAATTTGAATTCCCAAAAAATTACTAGCCGTGCCCAAATGCTTCATAGTGAAGTGCTGATGCAGTTGATGAATAATAGTTTGTATAGCATCTTAATCATTTCATGTGAGAAGGATATCATCTATGTAGATGAATAGGTACATTTGTATGTTGTTTTTATGAAATATTAAAAGGGACGAGTCAACTTTGCAATGATTGAAGCCAATAGATTGAAGATAAGTTGAAAATGTATTGAACCATTGCCTTAGTGATTGCCTTAAACCTTAAAGTGCTTTGCGTAGAAGACATACTAATCAAAATGATTGTTGTCTTTGAAACCTTCAGTTGTTTCATGTATATTTCATCTTCAAGCCATCCATGAAGAAATGCATTTATTACATCCATTTGATGAATTGGCCATTATCGAATGAGTGCAATTGTAAGCATAGCTCGTATGGTAGGGACCTAGGCTACTGGACTAAACATCTCAAGATAATTTATTCCATATTCTTGATGATTCCCTTAAGCAACTAGCCTTGCTTTAAATTTGGCAATGGATCCCTTAGAATATAGTTTTGCGCGAAAAGTTTACATGCATCCCAGTACAGGTTTGTTGTTCGGAGATGGTACCAAACTCCACGTACCCTACTATTGAAGTGGGAGGAATTTTTCTGCCATAGCTTGCCACCAATGTGGATGTTTAACTGCTTCGACGTATGATGTTGGATCGGGTCCATTCTTGGATATTTGATTGTCATGAATATGCATGAGATTGAGCATTTGTCGTGGCTTCAACGAACCAGTCTTGAGTCTTGTAATCATAGGATGATTTGTTTGAGTAAGAGTTTGTATGATATTTTGAGGAAAGGAATTTGATTGAGTAATTGAGTCATGTGACTATAGAGGAGAATTTTGCTGGTAATGATGGATGTATGATGGGTGAAGTTGTAGCAGTTTATCTGGTAGGAACTTGATTTAGGCAATTTGAGATGGGTATAAATAGGTTTGGAGTGGTGGACACAAATGGATCAGATTTAACTTCTGAATGTATGCGATTTTGAAATGGAAATGATTTTTCATCAAACGTTATGTCTTGATGTATAAATGTGATTTGTAGTTGGATCAAGACAATTGTATCCTTTTGATGTATCAGCATATCTGATGAATACACAAGGTATGGATCTTGGTTCAAGTTTGTTTTGATATTCTGGTGGACGCCACGGAAAATGGCTGTGTCCATATGTTTGAGAGACTTGTAGACCGGTTTCTGGTTATACAATAATTGAAGTGGAGATTTGTAATTTGTGGAACTGGATGGCATTCTATTGATTAGGTAAGAGGCAGTAAGTGCAACATGAAGCCAAAATTTGGATGGAGTGGATGTTGTATGCAACAAAGTTCATGTTGTTTCAACAAGGTGTTTATGGTTCCGTTCGGCTACACTGTTTTGCTCCGGTGTGTAAGGACATGACACCTGATGTAGGATTCCATGTTGAGTGAGAGAGAAATATGGTGAATTGAGAGTTAACATATTCCTTACCTCCATCATATCTCAAGCATTTAATTTGGTAAGGTAATTATTTCTCAATGAATGTTTTATACTTCACAAAAAAGAGAATACTTCAGATTTATATTGCATAGGAAATACCCACATAAATTGAGAGTAGTCATCAATGAAAACAACATAGTATTTAAACCCTTGATGTGAGGTGATCAGAGATGGACCCCATGCATCAGAGTGAAGAATAATGAGAGGTTGAGATGATTTTGTAGATGAAGGAGAGAATGACAATTTGTGGCCTTTAGTGACCTTGAAACTTGAACAAACTATAAAAGAAGTGGGTATGTGATGGAGTGGCGATAGATTGAGATTATGATGGGGTGTGGGAAGTATACCTTTTCTGGAATGAGCAATAGGCAGAGCTCGGACATCACCAATAAGAATGTTGCATCTCCATTATAGACTGTAAGTTGTGTGAGATTTTCTGCAGAGTTTATCAGATATGCTGACGCTCCTAAATCCATATAGCAATCTTGATTTGATTGATCTGTTTCACCAAATAAGGTTTTTCAACACTCGTTCGTTGTTGCACTTAGCTCAGTAGGACTGTAACTCAAATTCAACATGTGCCAACATGATGATGCTAAATGACCTTTTTTATTATATATTTGACAGCTGATAGGATTTCTTGATGTAGCTTTGTTGTTTTGCACATATGATCTTCCACGTCCTCTTCCTCTATTTATATACAGCGCGGTAGATTGGTCCACTATCGTCATTTGGCTTAGTGATTCAGCATTTAGATTAATCTCTTCGCTAATTAATAATGAATATAGATCATCTAGGCTAATCGGATGCAGCTTCATTCAAATTGATGTCTTAAAAGACTGATAAGAAGGTGGCAGTCCGTTCAAAGTATAGAAAATTATATCTTCAGTATCTACGTTGGATCCTGCATAAGCAATGTTATCAACTATGGTTTTAATCTACATGAGATATTAAGACATAGTTAGGTTTTTCTTTTTGACGTTATGAAACTCATTTTTAAGTTGAATCACCCTTGATCTGTTAAACTCCTATAAACGACACTCTTTAGTCGTCCAGATATCATAATAGGACTCAAGGTGAATAATGCATGGCAGGTTTGAAGACGAGATTATAGAACATATTGCAGCTTGTTAACATGTGCTGAAAAATAAAAAAATCAAATACAAAATACATACCTGCCTCTGCCAAATCCCGCAAATCCGACTAAAACATCGCATACCTCAGACTGTCGAACCCGCATATCCCGCTTGAAATCTCGCCTCGACAAAGCTTCTCTTCGCATCTTTAAAAAGAGTGTGAAACTCTCATTAACTTCTTCCTTCCGCTCTCTCCTTCCCACACGCGAAAATCTCATCGCTCCTTCCTCTTTCCTTAGTCGACCCCCATCTGCGGATTAAGAGCCTGTTTTCAGAGTTCACGGCGCACCAGAAAATCGCCCACACACGCTTTTATTAGTGTGGTGGGATGGGACCCCGGTGTGGCACCTACGATGATGCGAATAATCACTTTAAGCTCCATTTTTGTGTTCGCAGTGCACCAGAAAATCACCTATACATGCCTTTATTACGCATGGTGAGATGGAAACCTGGTGCCACGCCTACGGAGAGGCGGGGTTACTTATAAACACTTATACACGGGAAAATAATTGTGTTTTCAAATAGGTACCCTCGTCGACCACATGCACGCTTTTATTAGCGTGGTGGGAATGAAGACACTGCAATGGTGTCTAAGAACACATATCATACACGTTTTTATTAGCATGGTGGGAAGGCTCAGAGTCCTAAAATTCTTCCCCAAATAGGGGAGACATCGGGTAGCTGCCAAAATTTTGTTTGAAAATGACAAGGGCTTGAACAAAAACAAAGGAGTTAATTTGGACTCAAATGAACTTGCAGGGGCATGAAATAATGCTTAGAATAAAATTATGATTAGTGAGATAATAGGTCCAAGTTAAATGCAAGAGAGCACATGCAAAACTTGTGATGTGTAAAGGACCTACAAATGCCTTTCACTCACAAATGCTAAGGGAAACTCATGCAATTAATTGATTTGAAACAATTGTATGGACTATACAAGTATGTGTGATGCATACAAAAGCATCTTTACAATCAATGTGGAAAACAAACTCTCAAATGACATGCATACAATAAATGATAAATCAAAGTGGCTTAAGCTCTTCAATCAAATTAGTAAGCATGCCACGATCGAATAGAGAATATGACAATATGCTTATGATCAACAAAGTGATGTTTTCTTACAGATACTCAAAACCTCCGTACTAATGGGGATGT